AATGCACATTTAAGGTTGTCCATTTCAGTTATGATATTGAGAACACAAAAACTGATTTGAGTGGGAAAGATCTGCTTCTTGATTTATGGCATTAAAAAAAATCCTTCCTGTCCTCCATCGGTATCCTATATATGGTAGCTTCTCAACAACCCTGTGAAACGGGTTGTGCTGACAGACCGAGTCTGGCCAAAGGTCATTTAGATAAGCACAAAAGATCACTCTTTTGAATCCAAAGAAATGTGGCCCTGTAGCACACCTCTTTGCTTTGCAGCAGTTAAAAACAATTTATTGAAAATGTCTTGTGGCACAATCCTATGCATACTTAGACAGAGGAAAACACACGGCCACCTGGAGAATGCTGGGAGCAAGAGCTGTAGGGCCCTTTTCCCTGTCTAAACAGGAATACAATTGCACTCTAGTCAAAGTTGAGTGGAATTTGGGTATTCTTGCGCCTAACAAAACACAACATGCAGCTATGCCATGCTGCCTCTGAAGAGACCTAAGCATTGGTGCACTATCTGCGAGCACTGCAAACAGTAACTAGATGAACCTTGCTGAAAAATAAACTGTACCTTCAGGGGCAGATTCTGTGTCCTTTCAGGAGATACAGAAATGTGCTACACAAATGCTTTCTTAGCACCTGGAATATATAATTTGGTATATAATATAAATTGGTATATAATTTACTGGACTAAGGTAGGTAACCTGGTACCTTCCATGTGTTTTAGACTTCCACACTTTCTTACCATTTGTCATGATGTCTGGGGCTGATGGGAGTTGTAATCCAAAACATATAGAGGGCTCAGGTTATATACTCCTGGCCTAGATGTGGAGTATTTATTGAAACATAGAAACATAGAAACAGAGCGAGTCAGAAGGGGTCTCCTGGGCCATCTAGTCTGACCCCCGGCTCCAGCCGGCTCTGCTCACGACATGCCCACCATGGGCATGTCTAGCCTATCCTTGAACACCCTCATGGATGGGGCCTCAACCACCTCCCGTGGAAGCCCATTCCATTGAAGGGTGCTTTTAAGTGCTCGAGTTCAGTGGGACTTAATCATGTGATTCAAACTAAGCATGCACAAACAATACCTTGAACAAGAATGTATTTCTGAATTATGGACTGAATTATGGTCCTCTAATTAAAGATGGATTCAAATAGAGGACAGTCTTCTGTAATGTAGAACATATGGACACCCTACTACTAGATCTGCCTCATTATGTAGAAAACGAAGATACAAGTACAAGCAACCAGTCCCCAGGAAGTGGTGATGTGGGTATAGTCACTTTCCACTCAACTGGTCCTATGGGTCATAACCAAAGAAATAAAGTGTTGTTCCTTACATAATAGGCCTAATCTCTCTAGTGAGCCTTTTAGGTATGTTACAATGCACATGCTTGATGTTTCAGATCTTTCTGAGGGGAGGAGAGAAGCCACACGTTGTGCAACATATTATTCACTGATTATATTGTAATCCTACCACTCCTCTAGAGAGTCCAGAATAAGCATATGTAATACTTCCACCTCCATTTTATCTTGCATCATTTCTGTGGGATCCCTTAGACCAGGATCTAGTGACTGACCTATGCTCACTCAGTGAGCTCCACGAGTAGGAAAGTATTTAAGCCATCTCCACACACCACTGCTCAACCCTCATGGAAGCATAGGAGTGTTCATATCAGATCAGACTATTGGTCCATCTAGCCCAGTATTGTTTTCTCTGATTGGCAGGGGCTCTCTGGGTCTCAGGCAGAGGTCTTTCACATCTTATGTTACCTCCAGTTTAAAAACTGGACACATCAGGACTTAAAACAGAGAGTTTCTCCCTGTAAAGAACTTGCTCTACTGGCTTTTGGCTTGAAATAGCTGCATGTTAGACTGACAGGACTAATGTGGAACAAATGATCAAAATTTTTTACAAGAATAGAATGGACTTTGGGGTGTTAACTGATAGTGAACAGTTTGCACTTTTAACAATAACTAGGAAAGCAAGTGCCATGACGGGTGGTTGGAGAATGGGTGGAAGGGCCAAGAAACAGTGGCATGGCCACCTGGAGAACCCCAGAGGGCTGGCTGGGGACCCTAGGTTGGCTTAGATTTAGTCCCTCTGCTCCATAGGAATGGATGGCAGCCTTATGCTCATACAGGAGAAAACAGAGAGGTACATTTGGCAACATTAATAGGAAGGTGAAACAGTTTCCTGGCCCAGGGCCAGCCTTACCATTAGGCAAAGTGAGGTGGTTGCTTCAGGCAGCAGATGCTGGGAGGCGGCAGCAAGGTGCTGGAGGAGAGAGCCATGTGTATCCTGTGGTCCGCTGTGTGCACGTCAGCGTAGCCTGCTGGGTTCAAGTGTGGCAGAAGATGCTCTTTCATTGCCAACACTGTAAAGGGATTCAGCTGCTGGACCAGTCAGCTTTTCTAGCTAGAATGGGAGGGGACACCACTATTGGTCCTTGACCTCGGACAGCAAAATGCATTAATGTGGACCCTGCCCTGCCCTGGCCAGTGGTGGCTCCAGCAGTTTTAGAAATCCGCTTATTTCTCAGTTCTGAGCCTCTTTGGTGGCTCCAGTTTTTACACAAACAAGAATTTGACATGCTACTAGGAAGTGGCTTCTATATAGCACTGCAGTAGCGGCAAGTGACGCTGATATGGAGGGAACAGCACTAAAAACACTGTGGGGAAAGTGTGTGTGTTATGAAAAGGGATTTAAGGATTGTGTGGGAGGTGATAGATTGACAGACACTGAAGGGGAATTTTCCCCAAAGACGGGAAACAGCTTGAGAGAAAGGCACGGGTGGGGAAGGAGAGCAGGGCCGGCTCTACTTTTGCTGGAGTGAGGCATTGCAGCAGACAGCTGCTTTCGTGCACTAGTGGAATGGAATGGTTATTTCATTAATATTATTTATCTGCCAGGGATGGGAAGCGGAACTCGTATCAGAATGTCTTGACCCACTATGAGTATGACACATCTTGACTTTGAGCCAAGTGGGATGCAGTACCATTGGCCGCTCTGGCTTAGGCGGCAAAATTTCTTGGGGACGCCTTGGCTCTGTAAAATAAAGGGACCAAGGAAGGGGATAACGAGAGAAGAAAGATGTGATACAGTTAGAAATGTGGGAAGAAGTATGAGTTGAAGCAGTGCCTTAAAAGGTAACCAGTAAGAGTGTGAGGCTGATGTGCAAAGAGGCAGACAACACAGATACTTAAGAGACACGTGCGACACAGTCTGCACAATATAATGGGACAGAAAAATAATATTAGCAGACTGACTCAACTGACTATAGAGAAGACAGATGGCAGTGAGTGGTATGGTGAGGGGAGACTTTAAGTTGGAGGCTGCAGAAGATAGGTATGTTTTGACAAGGATCATGTGCAAAAGGATTTTGGAAGCTCTTGAAAATATAAGAGTGTGAGAGCAACCTTAGGTGTGATTCTGTTTTTCTTGTACAAACATGCTGATCATAAATTGGTCTGCAAGCGATTGCATTCATAGACACATAATTCAACAAGGGGTTTTTTTTGGGTGGGGTAGAGGGGTATGTGTTATCATCACCATCCATGGCCTTCTGTTTGCCATAAAATCTGAATTTAGAGCAGGCAGGGCCAGAATCCTTCACTGCACAAAACAGCTGCAGTGCTATAAAGAAAGGCAAGGCTTGAGAGAAACTTCAAGCCACGTCTCTCAAGCCATTTAAATCTACTATGGAATTTTCTCTCCCTGCCCATAGTGGTACCGCCATTCCCTGAGCCTCCTCTTGCATCCCTTGATCAAAGAAGACGCATACCTTGGGGCACTGGCAATTCACAGGTCAGACGTGACCCTGCATGATGTATAGCAGAAGTTGCATAGAAGAAAGGAGAGTTACCAGTGCTTTTGGTATTTGTCACTGGCCTGGAACTGACCACATGACTGGAAGTATCTATAGGGCAAATTGAAGGGTGGCCAAGTGTTCACTCTTACAAAAAATAGTCCTCTCTTTCAAATAACTGACAGGGGTCTGGCCTTTATTTTGAAGAGCTAGCAGAGGACAGCCCTCTATTCATAGATGTTATTTATCTGATGGGCAATTTCAAGAGAGGACTTTGAAGTTGCCCATCAACACTCAGCATCTGCATAGCAAAAACTGAGATGCATTGTATCTCTGTATTCATTATGATTATTATTTTTACATTTGTACCTATGTATATACATTTCCATATGCAAGATGGTGTCATCTTTTTGGTGCATGTGAATGCCAGCGTACATGCAAAAAGGCTGAGTGATGCTTGTTCTAACTCTTTGTAAGATTTTTCAGCTTTTAACCAGACCAGACAGAAGATACCTTGGAATACAGGACTGTCCTCTGACAGGTATTCCAATAGAGGACTACCCTCTGTAAAATAGGACACCTTGCCACTGTAGGCAACATGTATGCAAACACTGCTATGTAGGACAGTCCCCCTCAAACTAGCAAATACGATTATCCAGTGTTAAATGGGGGTAGATGGATTTAGTCCCCCACCCCCAGCTCAGTCAGGTGGTTTTTGAGCGGGTGGCATGTGGATGACCTAGCAGCAGATAGGATCTCAAGACCTGCATGCTTTAATCAACTTGAGATTTTATTTTTCATAAGATGGGTAAAGGAATGTCGTTTGTTTAAGTGAAGGATATGGATGGAAAATCGTTTATTTCTGTGCCATTCCTGGAATTTCACAAAATTAGAATTGCCTGCAGCAGAATTGCTTTAAAAATGAAATGGTTTATTTCCTCCCTAGCTTTAGCTACTGTGCACACATCTGTGATGTATATTATGCCATTCTTTTATATAGGAGCACATGGGATTATAAATAGTTTACAGTCCTAGGAAATCCCTGTTCTGACCATGTAAAGGATTAGCATGCTTGTAAAATTCCACCTTAAAACTAATTGAATGTGTCTGCTCAAGTACGGAGGAGAGTTGCTAAAACAGTGACACACTGCCTTTGGAGTTAGATGTTCCACATCTGGAATCCAAATGCTAGACGTGATATAAAACAGCCAGCACAACAACCCAGTGGGGCATTTTACGGCCAGACACACAAGCAGCATGGACCTTGTTCTTCTCTGCATGTTTCTGCCACTGCTTACAGTGGCTTGGGGCCAGTATGAGGACTACTACAACCCCTATGGCGAATACAGGGGTGACGATGCCTGGGTCAATGTGTACCGGCAGGGTTTCAACTTCCAGTGCCCTCCTGGGGAAGTGATAGTGGCAGTGAGGAGCACTTTCAGCAAAAAAGAAGGATCTGACAGACTGTGGAACTATGCCTGCATGCCCACCCCACAGACCCTGGGAGAACCAACAGAGTGTTGGTGGGAAGAGATCAACAGAGCTGGACTAGAATGGTAGGACACCAAGTTTAAAATCTCTTTAGGAGCTGGCATTGGCAACCCCAAGCTTATGCACCTTCGGGCTGATGCAATGGGTAATAATAGCCATGCATACACGTAAGTGCCTGTTTATGGGGGAAACCACGAGCAACCGTCTGGTGGACTGCAGCAATGATACTACCAATAGATTCCCTCATTAACGAGGCAGACATTAACTGGATTGTATCCAGTTTTTGCCTCACTTAAATTCCATTCATTTCCACGGAACTTTTAAGAGTAGAATATTGAATACATCCCACGGTCTCAGTAGTTTGTGGGGTTTCATATTTTTTGTCACTAGAGACAAAAATGGTTTGTTTAGAGACAAGCCATCGTGTGTTTTGCTTTTTCACAAAAAGAAAAGTGCTGCTTATCAGGTTTATGCTCATTTCTTTTGTCCCAGTATTGGAATTAGCCAAGCAGAATTTTGCACCAGGAATTTTGAAGCACCAGGAAAACTTAAAAATATTCTTTCATCATAGGAAAGGATTAGGGCAGGAGTGGAAAAGGAGTGTATTTGAGCTTCTTGTAGGTTTACTTCATCTCTTTTTATTCTCCTAGGAAACTTTTGTTGATCTCCAACGAATATTTCAGTGGTTTGAGATATTTACCACTGGTGCAAGATGAGTTTTCTGAAGGATGCTTGTTCCTAAATAGATAGGCTATAATCTGATGTCCATTTAGCTGGGAACAAAAGGCAGGAAAACTACATTATTATGAATGTAGAACATGCTGATATGTGTACTCTCTGTACTCCACTTATTTTTTAGGCAGAGTGCATGCATAAACAAATCAGCTAGCCATTCAGCTTTAATATAGCAACTTCTTTCTTTGATTATGAATTCGAGAGCATATATTTGCCTACATGAAAATATAGAAGGATGGATTCTCTTGTCTTTGACTTGCTGAGTGACCCCATCTCCTTCTGTCCTAGTCACAGAAGGAAAAGCGTGGTCAGGTGTCACATTGTACAAATAGCAATTCTCTAGCTGAAGGACTGTTGGGTCCACGCCTGGTTTAAAGGTGAAGAGCCCTGTGAAGGGAGGGCAGGGCAGGGCAGGGCAGGAAGTAGCCCAGCAGTGGTAGATTCAGCAGGGACGCAAGTTCCCTTGTCGCACTCTGGTCTCCGCTATGGTGAGATGCACTGTATTTTATTTAAGTGATGGCAATTATTTCTCAAATAGGCCACATAAATAGGATTTACCGTATGTAAATATTATACAAATCTCACCAACCATCTAATAATATTGTATCAATAAATTATACATTCTTTAAGTATGTTGTGGATCCCCATGCAATACTTTAAGAACATCCAGAAATGCCATTTAAGCCCAGGGTCAGAAGAGCACATGTGGGGCTGAAAGAAACCATATTTGCCGTGAAACAGTTGAAGTGGGCAGTGAGTGAGGAATCCATTTTGGGGGTGGGAATCCATTGGGTTCCCTAGTCTCAGCTTCCTGGGGTCTGGCCCCCTTTCCCATGGCTATGCATCTGACTTCCTGGTGGGCTCACTGGGTGTTTGCATAGGTGTAGGCTAGGGAGTGAGCCTGTTCAAATGTCTTCTAAGCACACGACCTGCAGCCTTGGTTGTGCTCCATGTGCTACAGGACAAAGTTGCTGGTTGCACAACTGGAGTTTTGTGAGTGTCCGTGGACTTCCTCTCAGTTCAGCTTCCTTCCTAAGTGAGGGCTGAGCATGGGAAGGTGGCCAACAAACAGAAGAGGTCCTGATTCCAGGGAGGATTGTTGCAACCCTTGAGACAACTAGAGATGTACGAATGGGTCGCAAGGCATGCCATGCATATTTTTTCAGATTTTCAGCCAACTTGTGCTCTGCTGTCTTCTCATTGATGGGCTTGGAATTTGCATAAATGCAATTTTTTGTAAATTCATTTGTCCAGAAATGCACAAATACCTCCCTCAAATGCATGTTTTCATGCTTTATGGAAAATGAGCACCTTTTTGCTAATTTCTTTTTTAAAATGCATATTTTGGTGGACTAAGTTTGTGCAAAAATATGGAAATTGGTCCACAATCCCTGTGGATGCCATGCAACCTGATGAACCAGTGTGGAAATCACAGGGCAGACTCAAAGAAAACTGGATTCAGTGGAGTCTGTTGCAGATTTCTCTTGGCATCCCCACTGACAACTTAGCCATGCTGGATGAGAGTGAGAAAAACTGCAGTCATACAGATGGTGGATACCAAGCTGAGGAGAGCTTTCCAACCCTGCCCCTTGCCATGCTGTCAGTTCCCTCTCTGTCCATTCACACTGGCACTCCTCAGGCACTGAATGTCGCATTCATGTCCACGGAAGTGATTTTGTTCAATAGTTGTGACTAGAAGCTGCCCTGGAATGGTGCTTGCTGCTTTGCTTGGCTTAGGTTCTGATGTGCCATCTTTTCCTCAGCTTCGGCAAGGTACAAAACATTCAGATGCACATCCGAACATGGAAGGGCAGGAGCTTTCAGAAGAACATTGGGTCTTCTGAGAGGCCAGTTACTGTAAGGAATTATTATTATTCAATTTATATCCTGCCTGCCTTCCTCTTGCAACAAAACCAGGGTGGCTTACAAGGTTCTACTCCTCTCCATTTTATCTTCACAACAACAATCCTGTGAGGAAGCTTAGGTTGAAAGTCAGTGATTAGTCCAAAGTCACCAGGAGAGCTTCATGGTTAAGTGGAATCCAGATCTCTAGATTCTCAGCCGAGAACTCTTAGCCATTACACCATTCTCACAGAACACTCGTTTCCTCCTGGAATCCTAGAAAGTGAGATTAGTTTGTACTGTTGATTGGTTTGTACTGTTGTTTCTAGAATGCTAGTCCTCAGTGGTGCAGTGGTAAGTTTTAATATGCAGGAGATCTTCATGATAAACTTTCTCTTCAAGGAGAATCCATTATCAGATCATCTCTGCCTGCCTCTGCTTCCTCCTCCCCCGCCCCCCCCACACACAATTTTCTGCTTTCTATGTATACTCAAAATTACCACTTCAGTGAAAAATACATTCAGAAAGCACAGACATCTAAATCAAGCAAAGAAGTAATCACTTACATGATTCCATAATTCAATCTGGGGAACATAATTGCAAGCTACATGGAGTCAGCTTCACTGAATGCAGTAGCACTTCTGAGCAGATTTAACTTATACATCATATTGAGCTTTTTAAAGGAATCCGCAAGAATTAGCTTTTACACTGAACTGCAAACAACTCTTTAAAGTGCTAGCAACAAAGCAAGCATGACAGCATCCAGTCCCTGCATGTCATTTCTTCTCATGTCTGACTTTCTCTGTAGTAATGTGTTGGAAATACTGCCAAAAGTCAAAAGTCACCTTACTGTTCTGGGCAAGAAGGTCTGTCAATTATGTTGGCACTACAGAGGATGACATTGTTGCTCCCATTGTAAAACATTTCCCTGGAGCTACATTCCCACCTTCCCTCTTCCCTCTGTATTGCACTCCTGCTGGCCATGTTCCAGGTTGCTGTACGGGCACCCACTTTACGCACGGATGTCCACATCCCTGATCAACAAAATGCAAAGAGGGCAGCATTTTCCCCTAGAAGCCCTTGGCACTCTGGGCTAAAGATGAACATACCAACTGAATGCTACAAAGAATGTTCACATCTGTTAACAATAGCATTCATCTTTGCATATGTCTCTTGGCTTGGCTTGGCCTGGCTTATAGAGAATTATGTGTATCTGGCACAAGAGGAAGGCTTAAGGATGCGACGCCAGCTTCTTAACTGAAATAAGATCTGGAGTTGTGCGAACAGATCTTTCACACTGAGAGAAGGAACAAGAAAATGAAACTTGGGGAAGGCTGTATATTCTCTCTCTCCTTCTCTCCTTTCATCTCACTCTTTCTATCTCTATGTGC